AAAGCTGATTTTGTGAAGGAAGGGCATTCATTTCTATAGTATTCATTCATTTCTATAGTAACTGCCCCCCCGCCCCAATTTCTGTATCACACAAATGACAAAACAAGTCTTGTGGCCTTTAGGATCTGTTGAAGGGCGTCCGGCGCCTCTCAGGATCCCGGTCAAAGTCCACAAAAACTGGAGGGATAGAAAACCTGATGGTCTTCGAGGTGCCGCAAGGTTGGTGGTTGTTTCTAAATAAAACCGTTTGCCAACATTCAGCGTTCCCTTTACAGTATATGACTTGTTCAAAGTGCTCTGTGCTGCTTTTCCTTGATCACCTCAAAGGCTCGGGGACAGGATCTCCGGCAGCTGACGGGAAGCCCCTGAACCTGTGTGAAATATGCTGAAAAGCTGGAAGGGGGGGAAAAGGAAGACCCTCCAGGAGGTGGGCTGAGCGAGGGATGCAAAGCTGCACCTTTGGCCACCTGAGTTTCCAAGACCTGTTGGTGTCATGAGACCTTTGGGAGGCCCGCCTTTGGCAGGGTTGCTGTCACTCCGCAATGCCCTGACAACACACCGCAACACCGCCGTCCCTGGCCAATTAACAGGTGCTTTTTAATTGCCACATGAGCTTCCCCTTCCACCTTAGGATAAGTGTCAGGTGTTCAGTAGCCTCTCTCATTCTCCCACGCTACCACTGTCTCAGTTCTGTTTTGCTTTCAACACTAATTAACTTTTTCCAGCAGGTTCTGTTTTTTGAACTCGCAGGGAAAAAGATGGGAGGAAAAAGTCAGGAGAACAGATTTATTCTGGGGCCACTTGGTGGCTCGAAAAACAACAACAAGAGTCTTATATTGCAATTGTTATGACATAAATGTTCTCAGGCTTTGAAGAGTCAGTGAAACTAAGCTGCCAATATTTTGGGTCATAAAAATGAAAAAGTGGAACACCCACGACCCTACTCCTGAGAAACTGCATAAAAATGTGTATTGAAGGCAATTTTGATCAAGAAGCGATCATTTCCACTGTCTGCTTCCTTTGTATGTCTATAGTGGGCCTCTTTCAACATCTTTCCCCCTTAGGGGAAGATGCTCACTATTAGTTCCACGTCTGTGGGCTGAAACTCCTGGGGCCGGGAATTTAAATCTCTGCAGGGCATAACCTTGTGTTTTAAAATGATAACTTGTGGTGTTTTTACCTGTACTGTGCCAGTTCTTTGTTTAAACACGTCGTGAGCTGCTTGGGGCGAGAAGCGGGGCAGGAACAGACAAACCGCCTCAGGCGAGACTCGGAGCGGCTCCCAGGCCCGTCCGAAGGACCTCTGGAGGGCCACCCCCCAAGATGAAAGTTGTGAGTGGGTTTTGGAGTCCCCTGTTCCCTCCAGCTGCCTGGAAACAGCTCGGGGTGAAGGTTTTTCTGTAATTCAGTTGTTCGGGTCTTTGCCTGCAATCGAAGACGAAAGCAAAGGCCTCTTCTTCACCCAGCGGCTTCCTCCCAAGGGCACTTTGAAGACAGACCACCGCCCTTCATCTGCAGGGAGCAGAATTGCAGATGATGGGGTGGGGGGGTCATCCTCTTTTCTAGATTAGGGTCTGAAGAAGAGGTGGGTCCTGAGCTAGAAAAGCACCCTCCAGATGAAGAGGAGGAAGGGGCAGGTAGTCCAGGCAAGGGTCCCCCTGCAAGAGACGTGCATAGCTTAGGGGTGCAAGTTCAGGACCTGGGTTCGCAACAGCATTTCTGCCTTCTGGTGCCCACACACAAACACACACGCGCGCCACGGGGCCCACATCCTTGCCCATGATCCTGTGTGGAGGGAACCGGGACACCATTCAGAGGAGGTGCCGCCAAAGGGGAACCTGCCGCCTTCCAGGCGCCACAAGGTGGGCTTCCTTTCCGGGTGGATCGGGCCCTGAGGAGGGGGCCCGGGCCCAGAACACACACACACTCGCTCCCCTCCGCTCCTTCGCCCAAGTGGGCCCGATCCGGTTTACACGGGGGGAGGGGCGAGGGCGGCCTTCCCGGCCCCCTTCATGCTCAGTGTCCTTAATACTAAACACTTCAAAAAACAAACACCCCAACTCCAGATTAAGGGCATCTCGGCAGAGCACTTTCTTCCTCCTCTTTTGCTCCTTAGCACATGTTGCTCCCTCATTGCACTAGAAAAGAAACCATTTTCAAAATAGGTAGGGTGGAAACTGCTTTAAAATGAAAACAGAGGATGTTCTTTATTATTATTCCAGCCTTTATAACATCAGAGCTTAGCTGTGAAAAGCCTTAATGAAAAATCACCAGAATGTGTAAACCTAAAGTAATTTGTTTGGGTTTTTTTATTATTATTTTGGTTCTTCTTGTGGGAAGCCCCATCAGTCTTGTCAGGAAGGGGTCACTTTGAAACAGTGTGCCCTGTG